TCGTTTTCTAGTTTTACTAAATCGATATTATATTTAAATTGTTCTCTTCTTAGCTTGACTAAAGCATTCCAAAAAAAGATAAAAGGTTCTCGGCAAACAAAAGGTAGAAGAGGAAGTGCGTAAGTTAAGAAATTTTTATAATGTGAGTGGCTCCAAGAATTATTATCATTTGCTTCCATAGTTTCGTCAGGTTTATCTTCATAATTATCAGAGGCGTCTTCGAAATTTTCAGTATTGGATATATTAGGATTAAATTCATAAAGATCTCCTTCATCATCTTCTCTTAATTCTATCGGTTCATTTACGGGTGAGGTTGGAAAGTTAACATGAAGATTAGCCATGCTTCCTTTTTTAGTAGGGTTAGGGTTGATAGATGGATCGGAAGACTTTCTTTTTTTATGTTCTAAAAGAATTTTAATAGTTTGATTATTAATATTGTATTTATCTTCTAAGTATTTCTCTCCTTCGATAGAATCTAGGTTGATCCAATCAGTTAATTCTTCTAATATATTTTCCAATAGTACTTGTTTAACTTGTAAAGTTTCGATTAAACTTTCGTATTCGGGTGTAGTGGAATCTAAATTACTTAATTTATCAAAGATTTCTAAGATGTCAACTTGTATTGAACTAAAATTACTATGCAAAGAGGGTACTGTATCCTGGTTGGCAAAGTATTCGTCAAATATTTTATTGTTTTTAGACATTTATTAAGAAAAACATTGATTTTTATTAAGAAATTAGGTAATTTTATTTGCGAATTTAATAGGTTAATAGTATACTTTCGCTTAATATAAAGCTCATCAGTTATTTCGCAAAGTTAAGCTAAGGAAAAAACTGCTTGCTTATATAGAAAAAATTCCACTATATAATATATAATATAATTAATAATACAATATAAGAAAAAATCGAAGTTTTATAAATTTTGGCCGGAGTTATGCATAATTTCGGCCGAGTTCGGCCGAAATTATATTTAGATTCGGCCGAGTTCGGCCGAAATTATATTTAGATTCGGTCGAATCTATTAATAAGTTCAGCCGATTCGGCCGAAGTTATTTATAGATTCGGGTAAATTTTGGCCGGATTTAGGGTTACAAGATTTCTATATGGGGTAAGCTTCGGTTATAAGTCATGTGATCACGTGACCCAAGGTCACGTGACTTTTTCGAAAAATCTAGAAGTTTTGTGTCACGTGATCACGTGATCATGTGATCACGTGATTTTTGGTCATTTTTTATTGGTTAGGGTTATGGTTAGGGTTAGGGTTCCCGGTCGAAGACCGGGCTAAGATTCTGACCAAAGAGGGTTGATTAGTTACACAAAGAATAGGTCGTTGTGTTGTTTCGGTATTCATATTTGTTTCGAAGGCTTCATTAAGGATTTTAGAGTAATTTTTCATCTTAAATACTGTATCGTCAAACGGTATTTTTAAGATAATTGGTGGTAGTCCTTTTTCTCTTTTTTCTTTGTTAATTTTCTTAAGAAGAAGCGTTCGGTCTTCCCATTTTGGATATATAAGATTTTTAAGAATATATAATGGATATCCTTTAGTTGAGTTGAGGAAGGAAAGAAGATTTTCTTTTTCAATATTAAAGTCTTCTTTTTTTGAACATAATAGAGATAGCCTTGAGACTTCATTGACAACGACTTGTTTTTTCATTAATAAACGGTGGTTTGACTTATAGTGAACGAAGGCGGCAGATCTAGGAAATTTGGAATATCTTTTATAACTAATTTCTTTATCTATAATAAAAGTTAAATCTAAGAAGTTAGCTATTTTTCCGTTATTTAATCTCTGCCAAGAAATTTTGTGATGTAGAGGGTAGATATCATTAATAGTTTTTTCAATAAAAATATTACTAAAAATAATGATATCGTCAATATATCTTCGAAAAAATATATTGTTAAAAAGTCCATTATTTATCGCTTGAAGTTCATGAGCAAAGCACGTTAATTGAGCTATATGAACTGCAGCATTTGTTCCCATAGCTATTCCTCTTTTTTGTTTAAAGATTTTTCCTAATGCTTTAAAGTAATTATTATCAATTACTAGACTAAGGATAAATCTAATTTTTGGTTTATTAAAACCAAGGTAAGAGTCAATCGGAATGGAGTGATTATTTAAATAATCGAATGCAGAAAGGATTTCATTATGTGTAAACTTGGTATAGAGTGATTCAAAATCTCCAGTAACTACAAATTTATATTGATTTTTTATTTTTTCAACTTGGTAAAGAAGTTGAAAATTGTCCTTAATAGGAGTCCAAAAATCTTTGTAGTGATACTCAAGTTTAGCCATCCAATCTTTTAATATATCCGAAAGAAAAATAGATAATCTTCTAATAGGTGCAGAATGCATACCAACAATAGGTCGCCATTTTAATGGGTTTTTATGTACCTTTGGTAATGCATGGAAAAACGGCAGTTGGAGATTATCTTCGGGAGGAATAAAGTATTTTTGATGTTTATTTGACATTGGCAAGTCAAATATTTTTCGTTGTATTAACAGAATACATTCGTTTTCTGTTAAAGATATTTCCTCATATTCATCAGGAGAAAGAAGATTTTTTATAGCTAAAATATATTGTTCGAAAGGTATAATAGCTAATCCTAAATTTTTATCCGTTTGAGTAATAACAATATTATTGTTATAGGATAAGTCTTTTAAGGCCTTCTTTTCTCGTAAAGTAAGATTATATTGAGGAGTGGGAATTAATGGACATTTGAGGTTTTCTTTTAAAGAATCTATTAACTTAGTAGTTGATAAATTCTTTGGTGGTATATAGTTTGGGTTTGGAATTCTAACTTTTTTAGAAGTACCACCTCCTCCAAATTCGAAGAATAAATTTAAGCGGCGTTCTAAATAAGCTAGTGATTCTTTTAAAAAGGGTTGTTCCGTATCCGTTAGTCCTTTACGTTGATTTGGGGTGGGAGTAGGAATAAATTTATGCCCATAATTTAAGATGCGGCATTGGGTCGTCGTGATTTTGATCTTCCACGGGTTGTAGAAGGTGGGCGAGATGTATTGCCGTACGACTTTTGTTGGCCTTTGAAAGATGTCCTGGATGTTTGGAACTTGGAGCGAGAGGTCGATCTTGAAGTCGAGTTTTGGTTCTTCTTCTTTTTTTGGTTTGGCCGTGTGGAGGTCACGGCTTTGCGAAAAACCTTTTTTTTGGGGTTTGGTCCTTTTGATTTAGATCGGGATCTTGATCTTGATCTTGAACTTGATTTTGGTTTGGGTTTTGTTTGTTTTTTTGGGGCTTTTTTGTTTAAGTCATCAGCTGAGTTAATGTTTAATTTTTTAAGTTGAGAGGCAACGGCTGCATTAATTCTTTCATTCAATACATCTGAGAGAATTGGATCCTTCTTTTCTTTTCTTTTTTTAATTTTTTCTTCTTCTTTTTTATACTCCTTATCTAAAGTATTTTGAAGAACAACTAAGCCTTCAGTAAACAAATTTACGAATGAGTGTTCAGCTCCTCTAAAGTGTAGGTTTGGTTTATGATTAAACCTAAGCTTTTCGGTAATCTCATTATGACACGTAGAGATATTATTAACATAGTCGTATAGCTTATTAAAAAGAGCTTCTTCTTTTTTATCCAAAGAAGTACGTAAATTTTCATAGTATTGTTTACTTATTTCTTTAGATTTTTCTTTTGCTTCTTCAGAAAAATCTGCTTTGGTTTTATTAGGTAGTTGTAATGAAGGAAACTTGCAGCGGTGGTTAGGTTTAATAATATCGTTTTCTAGTTTTACTAAATCGATATTATATTTAAATTGTTCTCTTCTTAGCTTGACTAAAGCATTCCAAAAAAA